ATGTGTTTTTGGACGTTTGAATCTGGGGCGCCGTCAGCCTCCATTAGGTGGAGTTGTGTTGCTACCTCCTCTCCCCTTGGATCTCCGCAAGTGATGTGAGGACTCTAAAACTTCACCTGAGCCTCCCTCGGCATATGGGTGAGTAGATAATGGCTGAATTTTCATTTTTGAGTGCACTATCCCTTTAATATGTTTTATCACAATGTGGCTCCTCCACAGTGGATTTATGATAATTTGGTACTTAACTCTGCAGCGTTGCTGATGAAAGCAAAGAAATTTGTCCATGCGCTACTAAATTCTCCATTTTCTCCTAAAACGTTTTCCTTTCTAGAATCCACAGTTAGCCTAGTTAGGAAGACCCAAGACTACTGTGGCCATCGCTAGTGATGTGTTTAGAGGAAAGAGGCGCCAGGCCACAGACGTATGACGCACATTTTAGTTGACGAAATGCTAAAATCGGTGTAGAGGCCACGCATTTTTATAGCTGGAGGAGTGTAAGAATCACTTTAGACCTATAACAATAAATTAAATGAAAAAAAAACAAACAAAAAAACACAGTTATTCATTTCCTTTTCAAAGCCACAGGTTGCCTTCCCCTTAACCCTGAACCCTTGGCCAATAAAGCTGATTCAGATTCTTGAGTGAGACACAACAATAAATCATTTTTAGTATTTGTGCAGAGCAAAGAAAGAGTCACACATTTTGAAGTCAAAAAAACTTTATTTAAGTGTAAACAAAACAAAAAAAAAAACTGCATAGGAAATGTTTAAAGTCCACAGAGTACAGAGCGAGCAGCAGGTGGCCAATATATTATAGTCTCCTCTGCCTTATTTAGACTGAAGACCTGACATCTGCACTTAAACTCAGCACGATGTGCGAGTGTGTGTTAAGAGGGAGGGAAGGTGTGCTGGCCAACGCACACACACTAACACACACAAGGTTCGACTGATTAACACACACACACACAAGCGCCTGGACGAGGAAGCGCCAGCAGCAACCATCTAAACTCAGCTGGCCACGCCGGCTCGCCCTGCCTCTTGGACTGTTACGAGGATACATTCAGTGGATTTCTGCTTACACAACACGGATGCAGCGCACAAACACAATATCCACTCTGCACACAAGCAGCCGCTGGGAGAACAGGACACAACGCAAACAAGCGTTTGGACAAGACGAGCTGGCTCTTAATCCCCGGGCCAAACATCCCCCTGAAGTCTGGGGACACCGATGTTAACGCGGTGCTGCATGTTCCACCACAGCCACATGATTACACCTCACACCTGAAGCAGAGCTGCTGTGGAACATTTTGGCAGCAAATGTTTTCAGTGTCATGTCTCCTGTCAGCAGCTGCTTGGAGCGAGCGAACATCAACAAGACCCCATTTAACCCTTTTCTTCACAAAATACATTCTAAAAGGGCCAATGAGCATCGAGTGGTGTGAAGTATTTGTACTTTTGTAAAGGAAAACAAAAATTGGCCAAAAAATAAAATAAAAAGAAAGAACCAAACCCAAAGATTAATCAGGGGAAACTAATCGAAAGCCTTATTGTTTCAGATTTAGAAATAATTTGTTTTATAATATGTAAATGGGCACACAAAAGAATCAGACTAGTACTGAGAGGTCATAACAGGGGAGAGGTCACTACATCATCACTACGGGACACGTTTCAATGAGACGCCAGCAGGGCAGGGCTGCTGAGAACTACCTGAGTTTTATTTTTTTCCTTTCTAAATTTTCCAACCTTTTTTTTTTTTTTTGTCTTTTTGTCTTGAGTGTATACAATCATTAAAGGAGGTCTACGACCTTGCACACGTCACCTGGTGCAGCTTTTTCTCTCTTAAAGCCGTGAGAGGCCAGCAATAAAACGGTGGACAAAAAAACCACAGGGGCCCAATTAAAAAAAAGAAAAAAAAAAAAACCCCACCTAACAGGAGTGCAGTCAACCAATCACGTGCTCAGCAGCCGTCACCGCACTTCCTGGATTCTTACAAAGACGAGGAAGGGCGCTGCTTGCTAGTTTGTGCTGGAGAAACCTAGCTGCTTCTCACAGGGCAGTGAGAGAGTTCCCATTACTAGGTCAAACACAAAATGGCCACCTTGTGGATTCATCATTGTTGGGAAGGTAAACCTACGCTCAGCAGGAAGTGTCTCCAGCTTCCTAAAGTTACAGAGTGTGAAAGGACAGAAGGTAATATGACTAATCATACTCTGCATACTAGAGGGGGTTAAAGGAAAATGAAGCACTAATGGCAGAGGGCCGTACTCGTCTGAAAACTGCCTCCGCTATCGCTCACGAGTCGAGGCATGGCTGGCTGAACAGGTTGTGCTCTGCAGCGCCTCTTGAGAACAGGAAATACAATCGCAAAGGTCAAAAAGGTTAATCCCATCCAACGCAATCCTAACGCACACATACACATCTTTGGGTATATATTTTGGTAAAACCATCCCAATAGTGAGCTACCCACCCCGTCTGAGTTCATCAACACCTATCTGAGAGACGTCAATATAATACAAGGACTTTTTAAAGCATGCAACAAAATGAAAAACAAAATCAAAGGTTTAAAATACACTTTCCTCTTTAAGAGTGAAGACCTAATGATCTTAAAGATAGAATTCTGCTATTTTAATAATGAAATAAAAAACCAAACGGATGCAACATGAATGAACATTTCACAGAGTAATACTGCAAAGCAAAAGACAATCGTACTGGTGAAACTAGGTGCTGAGTTCAAAGCAGCTGGGTCTGTGGAATCAAACTGGCTCGCCGTCAATGTGCTAATCGCTCTTCACTTCAACTTCAATAATAAACCAGCCTGTTGCCATGCATGAGGCATCTGATGTGTTTGTTTAAAGTGAGTTTAGACTCAAGGTCCTCCACAACCAACATCAGCCTTCTTAAAATCCACACTGACGTGTTGGTTAGACTGAGGTTATTCTTGTGCATTAAAAGGCGGATTTGTGTAGTTCTTTAACTCTTTAAAAGAGGCCACCTCCTCTTCCCCTTTAACTATTGCGCACAGTAGCAAAGTACAAGTGGAATCTGCGTGTTCATCATCATTATGAGGTAAAGATAAATTGGGCCCAGCCCTGTTAAGTGCATCCAGTCAGAGAGGGGATTTATCCTCAGGTGCTCCGATTCAACATCTATGATATAATGGTCCAGTGACATTTGTCGTCTGCAACAGCGTGGTCCCAGTGCCAACCCTGTTTGGCACAGAACTCTCACAGATCATTTTGGCACAATGCTTTCATCTGAAATATTTGGTTTCTTGGTGAGAAAAGGCAAAGTTAACCAGGCTTTTTTTTTTTTTTTTTTTTTTTACAGTAGATTCAACAAACAAAAAGCTGCTCAGGGCTGCGAGATGGAACGATGACCATTAACACAAACTTTCTTCGAACTCGAGATGGTACCATGATCTTTGGTCCTAGAGCTGTGGGACATGTACTGTAACACAAGAAGCTTCACAGAATGAGGTATATTTGTCGTGCATAAATATCTGACGAGGTATGCTTAAATAAAAGAGTCATTATGAGGTATTCAGAATATGTAACACGTTGAGGTATTTGAATGTTTAAATGCACAGCAGCTATGAGTGAGGTATTCAGGAGTCGAGGTATATGAGAAAGGAAGTGAAACCGTACGTAATATCTGAGATATGACGATGCAAATACTGACCATGTGCAGACGGGCCCTCTCCTCAGAGGCGAGGGCCGGCCAGTCGATCTTTCCAGAGGTCCCAAGATTCTTTGCTAGGCTGAGGAAGTGGCTAGCAGAACCATAATTGTCTAGTGCTTCCAGTGGGACACAGATTTGGACAAAGGGCAAAGGGATTCAGAACCCCACAATGCTTTCACCACAAAGAGTTAGTAGCTATTAGTTTCTATAGTAATTAGACTGGGAAACAAGGGGCTGTCTAATAATGAGAAAACTGGGCTGAGGCGATAAATGCGAGGGGGACAAAGGGGTTCTCTTTGGTGCGGGTATCTTCTGTTCTCTACACAACTTTCAGACCTGCCTCACACAGCAGCGGGATGTGAAAGTCCTCATGCACAATAAACTGTGACCCAAGCACAGTTATTCTTCTAAGCCTAACACGGACAGTGCTATGAACTCAACTCCACGCCTTTTATGAACTTCAGACTTCCCAGCAACAATGATTATTCAAGAAAAAGTTTTTAAAGGGGAATATTTTAATCTACAGTTGGCCATTGTGCAGAAATTCTAACTTTGGTAGACTCCAGTGGTCGATCTATAGACCTCCGTCTTTAGAGGAATCGGTCTACTAGCACTCACTCTGGAGATGTCTCCTCAACTCCACGCGTCAATAAATAGGGCAGGGCTTTGTGATCGTGCCCTCTCGTTGGACTCGATTCTCGGCCCTAGGAGCCAGGGGGCGTGGCTTTCAACCACAAAGCCAAAGGATTGTAATGTTAGGCCTTTAATTTGATGTCATTAACATCCTCTGGACAGCCAAATTAGGTGTCTAACTTGTGAGGCTTTTGTCACACAGCATACCTCATCAAAAAGGTGTCATTCAATTCAATGATTTAATCTGTACGATAAGATCGCTAATAGATCCAGATCTTTGAAAATTCATCACCAAAATCCTTTGGTGGGTTCCTCCCTGCCGAGGAGGCGCTGCTCTCCTTGCATACTTGTCTTTGCATCTTAGTTGTTCATGTAACCGACGGGACAGGAGCGACACAGGTCGTCTTGTTTTATCATCCAGTCTTATGAGCTGGGGGGAGGGGGGGGGAGATGATCAGACACTTTGGATTCTTTTATTACAGGGCTACTTATTCAGGACTTCTTTCAGGGATCATTTTGCAGATGATTTCCCTTAAATTTATATTTTTTACTCATCAATAAATTCATCCAATCAGCATAAGTCAGTAAAGCTAGAGGGAGAGCCTGCGAGGCACCGATCATCTCGACCAGTCCTACGGTGACCTGAGCTAATTCTGATTCTATCTATTTTGGCATCGCTTCGCACACTCCTCATGACACACAAACTCCACAGAGCCACAAAGAGACAAGGGTTGATGCGTAAGCCAAAAACTAACTAGCCTAAAAACATGAAAGGACACTACTGTACCCTAGTTTCCTCCCCGAGCGAAGCCCTCTAATGAGAATAAATCATGCAGCCTCTACAGCGGTCTGAGTATTGTCTCAGCAACAACATTCAGGAGGTTCACTTTAACTCATATTTCAAAATGCACAGCAAGTATTCCTTTAATCCTGTGCAAATATCAACTGAACAGTCTTTTTTTTTGTCTCTCTTAAATAACAAAGTATAGAGGTAGACTTTTCTTCTTTGTAAAACTTCACGGACTAAAACCTCTGCTCGGTGACTATGAGTACATTCATAAAGAGCTAAATGAGGTAGGTATGGAGCAGAGGATAAAAAGTGAAAAAATCCCTGAGATGGATACTTAAGGAGAGCTGGCAGAGAGAACTCAGAGCCGCTGAGGAGGAGGAAGGGAAATATGGCTCTTTTTCTACTGATTATCAATTTGTAGAGGTCCCCTTTGTCACACACACCACAGAGATCTGATTGGGAGGGTATCGATGTAAATAAAAAAATCTATAGTTTTAATTTCCCTTCACTTCAGCGTGTTCTCAATCCTCTCTGAGCTCGCCTCCTGTTGTGTCTGTTGATTCATTCTCTCGCCTCCATTTCCTTCATCGAGAAAACTGCAAAAGGCCAAACAGAGGGAGAGAATGCAAAAATAAACTTTTTCTTTTTTTTTTTAGAACTTGAGGATGCGATTATTTCCAAAGTCAACAACCACAATGACTCCGTCAGGCGTCACAGCCACACCGGAGGGGCGATCCATCTGTCCAAAGCTGCTCCCCTGTGTGCCAAATTTGCATAAGAAGTTTCCATTGGGCTCGAACACCTGGACTCTGTGGTTGCGGGAGTCGGCCACGATGATGCGGTTCTCCTGGTCCACGGCGACGCCCTGGGGGCGCAGAAACTGCCCGTTCCCGGTGCCCTCGGAGCCCAGGAAGCGGGCCGACTGGCAGTCCGGCCGGATGACCAGGAGCCTGTGGTTGTTGAAGTCGGTCACCACCAGGTGGTCTTCGTGGTTAAAGGCCACTCCTCTGGGAGAGTCAAAGTGTTTCCACAGGGCCCCCTCGAAGCCGTATTTGTTTAGGAAAGAGCCGTCAGGGGCGAAGAGCTGCACGCGGTGGTTCCTGGTGTCGGAGACCAGGATCTTACCCTCAGAGTTGACAGCCACATCCCAGGGATAGTTGAACTGCCCGTTCTTTGTACCCTTTTCCCCAAACTTCAGCAGGAACTGGCCCTCAAAAGTAAACACCTGTCAGAGAAAGCAAATGTCTCAGGGCCCAACGTGTTTACATGTGCAGCACAGAGAGAGCAAAAGGAGCTGAGTGTTTACACGTGTACGTGTGGTTACAGGATTTTAGAAGCTAACATGCTGCTTTACTTTTTGCTCTCGCAACTTTCTTTTAGACTTGGACGACAGAATTCCAACAATTATGCCAAAACATAGTGAGTAGAAATGTGTTGACTTTCATACCTGCACACGGTGATTGTCCTTATCAGCCACAATGATTCGTCTCTGACTGTCACACGCGACCCCCGCTGGACGATCAAACTGACCAGGCCGAGAACCCAGAGAGCCAAACTTATGGTGGAAGGCACCGCAAGGCTTGAATATCTGGAGAGTGAAGGAGCAAAACTTTTTTTATTTCATTTACTTATTCAATCATTTATTTTATTTTTTATTTCATTTATTTCTTTTTAAAATTTAATTTAGTTTTTTTTTTCAATTTATTTATTTATTTAATTTTTATTTAATTTAGTTTTTTTTTTCAATTTATTTATCAAATTATTTATTTTATTTTATTAGACATTTTATTTTATTTATTTTTTTCGAGACACATATTCCTTCTACCCCTCTTGTGAGGTGTGTGTCACTGCTGTTTGTGTGTATCAGGAGGGACGTTGGGGGAAATATGCCTGATGCACTTTTAACATTATGCTCTGTAAACATTTCAGCACCAAAATCAACAGTGTGAAGTTTGCATGAGCTGGTGAGTGGATGATTAATGACATAAAACCACTCTGGCTGTAATTCAAGTTTATGCATGTGTGGTCTTTTGGTAGTGAGACTGAAACTAAGGTTAGAGGACAGAAACAAAAGGAGACGCTCTGAGAGTCCTGAATGCAGAAAATCTTTTACATTTTCTTTCCACATTAAATGACTTCATTTTTATCATTTCCTTGAGCTGTTACTAACAATGATGTGTCAAAGTGTCCAAGAGGAGAAGTAAAGTGTAAAGTATCCTGCTCACCACACATGTGACGGTGTGACTGCAGAGACTAAGACACGGCGCTCTTACCTGTATGCGGTTGTTGCTGCGATCAGCCACCACAACATATCCCTCCTTGTCCACGCTGATGCCCCAGGGACGACACAGCTGACCGTCTCCCTCCCCCTCACACCCGAAAGACGACACCTGGGAGCCCAGGGAGCCGTAGCTCCGCCCTGACTTGACCATCACCTTGAAGGGGCTGCCCTGGATGTGCTGGTTACACACCAGCACCGACACCAGGTGCTCCCCCTCGCATTTGGGCAGGTAGCTGACGGTGTACGAGCCGTTCTGGTGGTCCGTTACGTCCGCTGCAGACAGGTTGCCGTCTGCGACCGACATGACTATTGCAGACACCGTGTCCCCGCCTGAGAGACGTGGCTCGCCGTCATGGTCATATCCGATCACAGTGAAGGAGGCGGGCTTGCCACGAAGCGCACTTTTCAGACCCTCACCGTGGGCTTTGGTGACTGGGGCGAAGGCTCCGCTGCTGATGAGGCCCATGGACTGGATGGCGATGTACAGAGCCTGCGGGGACAGATTGTGTGTTTAATGATTTGTAAACCCATCACCAATGTTCAGCACCTCTCCTAAAACTACTAACATTAAATCAGGCTGTGTAAACACACAGCAATACTTTGATGACGTTAACACCCACACAGACTTTAGCTTTGTGACCCCTGACCTCCAGGGTCTCAGTGCCTACCTGGTCTGGAGGGGTGAACATGAAGCGGTCGTCCTCCTGCACCTGCAGCAGGCCCCTCAGAGCCTTGAGCTCATGGATCTGGGTGAGCATTCGCTCCCTGGCCAGCAGCACGTCCAGGTGGCGGCCTTCATCCAGCACCTGGCTGACGGCAGCGATGGTGCTGTCCAACTTGGTCAGACTCTGGTGCAGTTTCTCCACCTGCAGGTACAGAGACTTGGCCTTCACCTGACGGATCTTCTCCACCTGAAAGGAGACGGAACGTTGAACAGCACAGAATGCACATGACAGATGTTGTGATATGTTTTATGTTGTAACACATATTTAATCACAACGAGGAATGTTGGCAGCTAAAACACAGACGCTGTTCCCATGGTGACACAACGACATGAACTATATACAAATTAGAGCACTCCAATTCAATGACACGACAAAACTAGGTATCAAAAACCCCTCACAGGTTGATGTACGACCTTGTTCAGGCCTTTACTCACTTAGTCATTAAATCCACATTCCTGATTTTTGGGTAGGAATAATGTGAAGCATTCCCAACCATACATTATTCTACCAAAGAAAAATTCTGCCCACTTTGTCATGCTACTTCCTTTCCCCTTTCAGATGGAGGAATGTTCAAGTCTGACACAAATTCAAGCATGTCCAAAGCCTACATTTCCTCAATCAGACATTCACATAGAAACTCCAGTCGAACTTTAAAATGCTCCCCATCTTTCGTACATTCTGGGTTGTGCTCTACTGTGAAATCCCATTCAAATGAAATATTCAGACTTGTTTGGAGCACGGTAAAAACGCCCTTCTCAGGTTTTTACATTGGTTTGTATTGGACAGAATGTTCACAGTGTAGAGAGCTTCTTAAACGTTTCGCTTTAACTCGCTGTCACTCCCACAGTTTTAATTCTACATATATCATTTTTGGTCAAAATTAGGGATGGACAATGTTGGATTTTTAGCCAGTTAGCTGATATATAACAACTTATTTGGCTGATAACCTGAACCATTATTGATATATCCACTTTTCCCCCACCTAATTTTAGTGATCATCAAGTCTCTTCTGTGGTGGGATTAACATCATATTATACATGTATACTCTTCTCCTGACGGCCCACCAGCAGATGGAGACATGAAATACTTTTCAATGTATGTAATATTCATTCATTGTGCAAATAAAGAAAATGCATGTTGGGCGAATCCAACATTGTCGCTATGGAAGCAATCTGAATTACACATTTGGCACAGTGAGCCTGAAAGCAGGAGGAACTCCACTAAATGTCACACATTAATGGTTTTACTCAACATTCAGAGCCATCACTGCAGTGCAGCGTCAGCTTTTCAACATGCACCATTCATACCTGCAATTTCTTCAGAAACTGCACTCTGTAGTTTTTTATTAAAAATCTCACTGTGTATATATTTTTATGAAAGCACTACAGTATCGTCATAATATTGAAATCGAGATATCTGGTCACAAATACTGTGATATTTTCTTTGCAAGTGAAACTGAATGTGGGATTTAACAAGTGTGCTGGTGCCTCCATATCACTGACTGTTACCAACAAGTCTGCCCACAGGATGGCAGCAATGTGCTGACCACACCACGTCTGTCAGATATTCAGGAAGAAGCAGCAGCAGCACTGAATGACATGCAGCTGGCTGCCTGCATGGAATTTTGATTGGGCATCAGTGTGTGAGTGTTCACCACTCCGTTAGAGTGCAGGTTAACTGAAGGCACATGAGGTAACAGGTCAGATATTATAAAAATGTATTTAAAGATGGACCGCACAGGTAGAAATGCTCACGATGACGCAGGCCTCGTGTGTGGGCTCTGCGTAGAGCTGACACACATGTATGAATCCTCCTTAGAGTACTGTCCATGATGGATCTATGGTGTTTTTGGTGGAAAACTTGTTCTTTTTATCTGTTGCAAGCGACTGCTGCAAGTTCATTTCTATATCCCTGAACAGTGTAACAGAAGACAACAAGATGACAACGCGAAACACTGTACACACAGTTTACTATTCAAAGAGATATCAAGACCTGAGGCTGAGAGAACTGAAAAGAGCACTACACTATTACTGAGGTGATTTATTCAGCACTGACCGTCACTTAACCATGACACATTTCTGTTACTGTTAGAAGCCAGATTAAGTTACAGTACAGTCAGTGAGAATGAAGCATTAGAGAGGCTGGCAGAACCTGAGAAGCACAGACTGGGCTCTTACTTACCGTCACCTAACAAAAAGACTATAACACAATAGCCTGACTGCCTCTGTGGTCAGAGGGACTCTGAAAGAAACAAAGAGTCCCAAGGACAGAGGTCTTTTGTTGATCCTTGGCATAAGTGGAGCTGCAATTTGCATCTGTGAGACTAGAGTTACACTTTATAGTCGCTGAGGACAAAGACTCCAGTTAGGCTTTCTAATGGACACACATCAAGTTTTAGTTCGTCAGTTGGAAACACTCATTGACAGAGTTGGTTTGTATTTCACAGAGTGAAAACCTGAAAGTCAGAGAGGAGGAGACCTGGACGATCTTTGATCCAACGACTACTGAAGCCCTGTTTCCACCAGACAGTTCAGTTCAGTTCAGTTCCCTTTTCTTTCCGTCTCCACTGAAAAGTTGTGGATGGTACCAACAGAAGCGTTCTTTAGCATCCCCATGTTTGGTCCCCCCTCTGTTGGGGTACCTAGCACACAGATCTGGTACTAAAAGGTGGAGCTGTGAACACTGCAGTCTGATTGGTCAGTAGAGGACGGTCACTCTGCTCAGGGCTGAGTTGTGTCTGGTTTTGAGGCTCATGTAACCACTGTTCATACTGTGGAGAGTTTTATTAGTAAACTGTAACTATAAAATGAAAGGATGTTTTGCTGCCTCTCACAGCAGCTGGAGTCTGAGAAAAAATAACTTCATTCACTGGGCCGACTGCCGGCAACTTTTAAGGTGGAACGTTAACTTGTAATGTTACTCAATGCATGAGTTGATGACGTGAATCCATCAGCACACCTTAAATTTCACTGTGACAACTTTGACCATCACTTTAGTTTTTATATGACACACACTTTTAGTAATGACTTTAAAAATATAGATAAATTTGGAGCGGATTATGTGAAGGTCATATATTCTAATCCTCACTTCCTGTGGGCTACAGCAACACTAAACCCCTGAGCTTGCCTGAGAAGGACTAAATGCACAAAGCTGCTATTTTTAAATATCCCATGGAGAGAGACTCTCACTGCAGCCTGTTCTATTTTGTTGTGAAAATGTGGGCGTGCAGCCTCGTTCTGTGGACGATAAACCAGGTGCAGACTTCCATCTGTGTCACCGCTGATGAGGAAATACAGCGAGTGCTGGACGGAGCAGTGAGTGACAACAACCCCGCCCACATTTAAGAGGACTGTCTGAACACACCGAGGGTCTAGGTACCATGTCTGAAGGCTTACTGCTGGCTCCTATACGACTCAGCTCAGCTCCTGTGCTACAATTTCATAACATATACGAGACACACCCAAACTCACCAAGGGCTTTAAAGTCAAATGTTTAACCTGTGAGTCACATTGTAGTGCTCCCGCTGTCATTTAACAGCCATGAATCTGTCTGGTTCAGTGCCGCAGTGCTGAGTCACCTCCCAGATTCAGTTTCTGTGTTCCTGTCAGCACTGGTGGTCATCACACCGACTCACGGTACAGGTAGCACGAGCTGCGTTGTTTCCTATACCTCGTATGATTCAACTTGTAAGCTATCTGCACCTGAGGCGAGGACGGCAGAGGAGCAGAGCAGCATACTGATGCAACACGCCACCAGAGCAGCACTTTAACTAGGCTGAAATGACCAAGGTGTCATCTTTAAATTACTCTGTTTGTTTGATCAACAGTCCACATGACTAAATGACTAATCCATTGTTGGAGATTAATTTTCTGACCAACTGTTTTAGCCCTATTCAACAGGGATAAACCCTTCCACCACACAAAGAAACAGTACACACCAATAACAAAAGGAAAAACAGAGCAGCGGAGAGTCAGCCTCCTACCTGCTCTACAAGCTCCAAAGGACGATCAGACACAGCACCTTCCTTCTCTACATGCCCCCAGGTACTCCTTGAAATTCTTAACAACATTTCTTTAAAAACAGGAAGCTTACTCACACACCAAAACTGAACTGTCTACCAGCTCATCACATCGTTACCAAGCAGCAATATCCAGCTGAATAATGAATCCAACATGAAGTACTAAAAACTGCCGTTCCTCTAATGTCGACTTGAGGCTGGCTCCAAAAAAATAAAGCATGGGGAGAAAATGGAGAAACACACACGATGGTAAACAAAACATTGTCACTAGGGCTGCCCCCTGAACGTTTGTCGACTAGAAAGGTCATTAGTCTGCAAGATTCTATTGGTCGCTTAGCCGCAGAAAAAAAAAGTGTCTTGTCAAAATAAATCCAATCCTATATGACTGGAACATGTGTGACTTTAATGTGAAAGGACAGACACAGGAAGTGTCCACGCTCAGCAGTCAGACAGGAGTCAGGTTAATTTCCAGGGCTGGTACCTGCGGTTATTCCACAGGCTAGTTAATAACATGTCGGGCAGGAAATCCAAAGTGTGGGATCATTTTGAGAAGGTGAAGGAAGAACCCAAGGTGATATGTGAACTCATCTTCAGATTCATGGAAGGTTATCTGTGGAAGGTTCCTGTAAGAATTTCGGCACACACAACAAGATTCCACAACTTTTCCCACAACTTTAAATAATTTCTACTACTTCAGTGACATTTCCAGGCCTGGAAAATTTGATTGTGACATTCCATGACCACATGAACGTGGTAAACCTGTATATCAGAAATAACCACTGTAACATTTTCCTTGGCATCACTGCTGCATTCTCGATTTACGAACCTGTTTTCCCGTCTGTCAGTGGCGTCAAATTTGACACGGTCAAAAAATCCAAACACACACAAAAAAGAGTACCCATCTGCTGCGAGTTCATGGCCTATATTTTCTCAGGTTTTCCTGTGTTTAAAAACCTGCATACACACACTACTTTTGGTGGAGAAGAGGTAAATGAAGGGTTAATGCGGGCAGCAGCTCACCTTCCACAGTAGTTCACACTCTCTCTCCTCCAGCGCTTTCTTGTGTCTGAGCACGAGGGCCTTCACTTCAGTCTGCACCACCTTGGCTTTGATCTCCACCTGCTCCGCCATGGCCTGGACCTTCTCCATGCTCAGCTGGGGAAACAAAACAAAGTCACGTGATCTTAATGATGCGCCATAACATCCTGTCACCATATTGGCAATCAGCTGAAGCACAGAATTTTACTTTAATAATAATAACGGACCAAACAGTGAGACAGAGACAAAGACGCTACGGTTAGCACTCACAGTGCAGTGTGACAAAGGACAGGAGTGTCTAAAAACACATCACTTCCTGTTGGGTTTTATGACTCACATGGGATACAGATGAGCCCCAGCTGCAGGATGCAGAGGAGCAGGAAACATTAAAAGAGAGGACACTGTGTGTGACATCTTCCTGGCAAAAATCTGTTTGGTTTTTTTGTCCGGAATTGTCCTGTGTCAAAAAATAAATACGACCTCGCATTTTGCCAATCATGTTTGCACACCAAGTCTGAAACTTTTGTCTGTTATTAAAATGTTCAGATCAGGTTTTTCTGCATTTTTTTTTTTTTTTGCATCCGTCAGCCTTTAGAGACGTTTGACCAAGAATCAGTGAAGAAGATGAGGCGGTGGGACACAGCTGGTTTGAGACAGAGCAAGACAGAACTTGGAGAGCTCACGTTGAACAGGTCAGATAGTTCATCATATTCAGGTGATGATGATGAAGAGGAGGAGGATGTGGACCGCACACAGAGTGTGGAGGACAGCTCCGCCCCTTCATGCAGCTGTGGTGCCAAATGAAACACAGGGGGGCAGTGATGAATTGTGAGTTTTCACAACGAACAGATCAATAAATTGGAATCAGTGAGCATGTTTTCTGTGCAGAACAATTTTTTTCCCGATGACGAATCTGAAAAAAATGCCTCTGTTTGCAAAGGCCTTAACACCTGCTCAGTGTTTGTGATCTATGCCTGTCTCACGTTCAGCGGCTCCTTTAGAGGGGAAAAGGAAACATGGGTCAGGAATAGGAAGTCACTTCACACCACACAAAGTGAGGCAACTTCCTGTTGGGCTGAACCCCTACTCAGCCCTGTTATTCAAAGTCAGCATCATGAAAATGAAAAACACTACATTTGAAACAGTTTTCCCCTCACAGTGCGGCACTAAACCATCTCATTATTATGATGATATTTTATTATTCAAATCTTTCTTTTAATTATCTTAATCCTTATCATTTAAATCTGCATGTTAGTCTAATTTTAGACTGTATTTTATTCAGGTGTAGTTCAGCATGATTTTTTATGTTAAAAGAAACTGTGATGACGTGATAATGTTTCCTTAAACCACAGTATTTAAAATAAAAGTGTAGATATTTTTATATAAAAATGTTTAAACACCCAGACACACAGAGTAGCATGCAAAGATGTAACTGTACTGAACATGAATCTGTTTCCCTGCTGCCTCTCACCACACTGATTATAACCAGGTTTCTGTGCAGTGACACGAGGACACAAGGTTTCTTCATTACCTTTATCACAGGCACTGACACTGTTAGGCATAAACTTAAAGGCTGTAACTTTTACAACCCACAATTTGGGCTAAATGCGAATTTCCCTCTTTGTCTCCGTCCCTTCCCCCGCAGCGTTTTATCTGGCTTTTCCTCTGGCGTTTTCTCTGGGAGGTCACAGGGTGAGCCGGACCTCACAGGGACGCAGGGGAGGTGGGATAAGGCCGTCTTTGTGATATTGGCCGCAGGGATCAAAGGTCACCTAAACCTCTACAGGTCATGATCTGCAACCCCTGTCTTGAGACACATACCGCCCACCCCCCACTGCACCCCTGCAAGAACAAAGCCTGGCAGTAGGGCCTTTTTCTCTTTCGCCCCCGGAGAGGGAACAGCAGGGAGCGAATCCTGGAGGAATCAGGAGTGTTATCGTGTCATGGTGAGGAAGGAGGCAGGGTGAAACATAGAGTTGTGTCTGTGTAGTCCTGTAAAATGCTCATTTGCCTTCTCTGTGTGTCATTCTATTATCAGCTGTTTTTTCCATTTCTTCTGGACAACATCAGCTTTTTTAAGAGGGGTATCAAATCCATACACTACAGTGTGATGCAATAGGGCCACCTACAGCAGGATTTATACTTCTGCATCAAATCGATGCTTTACGTACGGCGTAGGCTCTGTGTCAATGCAAAGCCTACGCTGCAATCTGACGTGCACCTCCCCAGAAATGTAACTCCACAGTGTCACAGTGACGCAGACCTCCTGTCTGTCTCTGTAAGCTGAAACCATTTCCCTCAGTGGAAACAAAGCTTTGATTTACTTTAATTTCACAGATAAGAAACAATAAATTGTGAAGACAATAAAGCCTCCACTAAAATAGCATTTTAAGTCTTGTGTGTGATTTATCCTGGCTTCATATGAGCAGAGCAAATCTCTGCTAGCTGCTAGGCTAATTTATACAATGTAAAATGCCATAGGCTTGTGCTAATAATGTTAGCATGTTGTATTTGTGTGGAAAATGTGTCCAGATACAGACAAGTGTTTGTCTGTGAATGCTGCGAGTTATAGTGAAGCTGATTTGTGTTTGAAACTGTCTCTATTAAGCCATGTTTAATGTGTGTTTACTGTGTGTTTAATGTGTGTTTTGAATCATCTAAACTTTACAGCACTTACAGCACTTGAAGTAGGGCACGAAAACTCTGCAGAGTGATGCACAATATTGTATATTCTTGGCACAAGACAGCCTATAAACATACTAATATATGAACATTTAAATCAAAGCCTCCTTGTTTTCTTGTTGACACATTGGTCCTCTGACTACAACACAGAGAACTAAATAACAGTGATTTGGCGTGCAGACTGAGAGCCACTGAGAAAGTCTGTTTTTTCCTGATCTTTGACTCAAAGTTGGGGGAGTTGATGCTACTGCACGACCGTGTTTTGGTGGTGATGGCCAGAGTAGCATGCATTCCAGCATTTCTATTCAAGTGAATTATTGATGAGTCACCCTCATGCATGAATCATACATCAGTAACAGCACACTTTAATGCATGAGCCATGATCCAGGATGATAAAAGTACAGAAAAATAGAAATGTGTGGAGAAAATAGCACATTGTCCATTTCTTTACAGTCACGCTCTCCCTCGCCCCCGTTTGCGCCACACCCTGGTGCTCTGCTTCTTGCTCTCATAATCTTCCTCTCAGTCTCTGTGGCTCCATCTTCTCTCTTCCCCTCCGCATTCCCAGAGGAGCACAGCTTGGAGCACAAAGAGGGTCAAACGGACCAATCAAAGCGCAGAGGGAAGGAGCTCTGGCCAACCAGAAGGTCATACGCATGGGGTCAGAGGTCAGGGGAGATAATGGGTGAAATTTCCTACCTCTGGCGACAGGAGCGTGTGTGTGTGTGTGTGTTTATATATTATCTGGCGTCAGCATTTACTGCCATGGTGACCTGAGACAAAACAGGCAAACACACACCAAACACCACGACGCAGTGCCAGATGGCAGGCGGTGTTTCTGTGCAGTGTGACTCAGCTGCACAGATGCAGGTGATTCTCATTAAACACTACTGGAGATGGGGATTTGACCGTCGGTGATGAAGAGTAGGAGTGTTATGTGGTGCCTTGTTTTACACCTACACGTGGTGTTTGGCGTCTAACTGAGCACATCCATGTTGTGATATCTTGGAACTCGAAGAACACCCAGAGTGACATAAGTACCATCCATTAAGGTACAGAGTGCGCCCCAGTCACACAGAGGTCAAGCTCTGCTGAGAGATAGCACATGCCAGCATCATGTTTCAGGAGTCTTTACCTTCACTGCCCCACCCTGCAGGCACACTACACAACACAAGTGTGTGTGACCGATCACTGGTTCTCTTTTAGCTGTGCTTTCAACACATGACTCACAGACCATCTGGAGCAAACACTCCTGTGCACCTCAGTATAAATAACCTTAGTGATCACTGAACATCAGATCACATTTTAAATTTGTCCATAAACATACGTGTACTTGATGTTTTGTGCTAATGTTAGCAACATGCTAACATGCTAAACATGGAGAGCACATTAAACATTACTGCTAAACATCACGCAGTCCCTTCTTTATGCTGCCTTTGTATTTTTACACAGAACCAAAGGACAGCAGCGTCACTCTGCTCCAGTGTGTGATTTGAGACATGCCTGCATCGCAGAAGCAAAAGACATGACGGGCATAACGTGTAACACAGCAGTGTCAGTCCCACGCTTGCATGGCTGCAAGTCTCATTGGCATTGCTGGGCCAATGAGACTTGCAGCCAATTGTTCCGAATGGACACTCGCCCAATTGCAGCGAAAAATCCCCTGCAGCTCGAAATATTTTCCCCATAGACCAGTGGTTCCCAGTTGGTCCAGATTACTCCTCAGTCATTTGTTCAAGGTCCTCACAGTTTAATAAATTCAGTGTCATACTTCCGATTGGCAATGTCATCAAGTTAGTTTGCCGTCTCTGTTTAGTAGCTGTCCGTTGGTCACTCAAAATCCATGGACGGGAGAAAAATACAAAATGGCGATTGTTTGGTCTGTGACGTAAAAGATCAACAAGAAAAAGGTCCAATACTAACAAGCTGAAAGGGGGCATATCTCCACCTATAGTAGAGGAGTCGCACATACTTGGCTCAATAAATGGATTCCCCTCCCGTGCTTGTATACTGGGACAAGGACAGTAGGCCAGTTAGATGTCCTCGTCCAGCTGGGACTGGAGCTACACTTCACTGTGCAGGTAATCGCACTGAGTGTGTCTCCAAAACTTTGCCTGTCTTTCTTCGTGCAAGTAGAGCACAAAGACAGATGCAGACGCCTTTTGTCTAAAGGTGCGGAAACACCAAACCGACATCAAAGAACTAGCGGCGACGAAAGCCAACTGTTGCGTCGTCTACGTCGCCTCACGTCGCCTCACGTCGCCCTGTGTCAGTTGCATTTGAACACACTACACGGACTACATCCGACAGCCAAGTAGCACGTACGTTCTGCACCTGCATGAGAGAGAGCGGAGTGAGAGAGTGGTACATCCTGTCAGCCGAGGGGTTTCCTATCTGTGCAGCCGAGCACCACAGCACCTCCACGGACTATTACATCTAGACGGTCCCGGTGTTTCCTCCGCAGGCTCCACTTCACTCAGCTGCCCGATAAACCCGCTGCTTCTTCCCACTTTAACCTGAATAACAAACCAGGGCTCGGTGCTCCGGTTGGATCCAAACGCTCACCGACGGCCCGACTTTGACCGACCATTAGCTTGGTGTGTAAGGACCTTAAGAGAAAATGATATGACTGGGCTGAAAATGATGATGGTGTTAAAGAGTAACGTGGCTCCTTTGAGAAGCCTGTGGTCAAAAAAGAGAGACAGAGAATGGCGGAGGATGAGCTCAGAGCAGACGGGTGTTCGGATCTTGGTGATCAGAGCGCAGAAGAAATTAGCAGTGAAGGTACCAAAAGGGAGCAAATGTTCTGTGAAGGTTTCAGTTTGTCCATGATAAACACTGCAGCTGATTAAGACCCAAGTCAGTATGACTATAAATATATACACAAGCATGTGCACTGTGCAAGTCTGAGTCAAGAACTGAGTACACTTTAATATCTGTTTATTCACCGTAAGAAATATCACGATAAATGTACTGTAATTTTATAACAAGGTAACGATATATATGACAGTCCTGCAGTAGAGTCAGACCTGTGAAATCTCTAATAGACACAATTCTACTGTCGCACAGTATCATGTGTTTTCCTCACATCATGCAGCTCTATGTGTGAGTGAGAGTAAAGGCGAGGGAGCATGTGAGTGGATGAGTGAGTGAGTGAGTGAACGGGGGAGGGCAAAGTGATCCACTTCTTAAAAAGAGGAGGGGAGTTTTCCTTTCTCTGAAATCCTTTAAATACCTCATCTACCCTCCCCCATCCTCCTCTCCACTCCTCCTCCTCCCCTCTGACCTCCGGCCCTGCCCCCGGCAGACCTCACCCCGTGCGACCTGCCCCCTCTCAGGAGCAGCTGGACACCTCTAACCTCAGGCTTCCCAGCAGCCCCGCGCTGGTCACTTCTCTCGGCCGCTCTGTGCCAAGGGACGCTGGAAAAGCCACAGCTGCTCTCCTCAGCCTCTCCGGGAGATGGATGAGCGTGGACATGTGTGGTTTGACCTTCATAAGGATTGTCTTATTGTCAGACCTTGAAGAATCATGAGAAGAGCTCTCAGCTTTGTTTAGTTAAGACTCAAATCAGGTTGACCTATTTGCATCCTGTGGAGATACACCACCATCTCCTCTTGATTCAATTAGAAGAACCTCTGGTCATCTTCTCTTTAATAAATTATATTCCCATTTTTCACATTTTACAACACAAACACAAGTATTGTTTTATTTCATGTTTGCCTCAGTACTGCTGCCTTGCTTCGAGCTCCAAGAGGCCGAACAAGCAAACAAAAAAACCCTTGAGGATGTTTTCCTTTGTGAGAAAGTGTGTCTGTCAGTGTTCCTGTCTCACCTGCACTGCCTGACGTCCCTGCTGTGCGTCTGCCAGCAGCTGGATGGTGATGGCCCTGCAGTCCTGCACAGCATCTTGTAGATAAACAAAGGTGTGGCCGATGTGACGGCCCACGCTGCACTCCCTACAGATAGGCACCGAGCAGGATTCACAGAAGAACAGAAACACCTGGAAAACAGACAGACAGACAGACGGATCAGTTCTGTGTTCCACATGATACAAACTGAATCAGCACCTGCTCTCAGGGCCGTGGAACAAAAGAAAAAACGAGTACAGACCACAGATCCGACTGGACTCATTAAAGCTTTACTTTAAACTTTGAGATGTGAGATGCGTCTCCAACTGACCGATCATTTTTTACTCTCATTATCTCTCAGACTGACACTGGAGAAACTCAAAAGTTTTGAGTCACACTTAAATGTCTTTGTTAAATGACATACTTTGTTTTAACACTTTGTTTAGTTCCATATAAACATGTTTGAAGCCTTAATTTTAACAGCGTGCATGGGACGAGTCAGTTTAGTGTTTAAGGGAGAGTTCATCCCAAATTCAAAAACACATATTTTTCTTCTTGACTGCAGAGCTATATATCAGTCTAGATAGATTTAGTGTGAGCTGCTGATGCTGAGTCGTCGCAGATATCAGCTGTAGAGACGTCTGACTTCTCTCCAATATAATGGAACTAGATGGCACTGGGCTTGTGGTGGTCAAAGTGCCAAAAAATACATTTGAAAAACTCAGCACAGTGTTGTGAGCAGTTTCATGTAGAAACTATTTTTCTTCGACCAAAATCATCACCACACAGAAGTAAGCGTGCAAGGTAACCTAAAGTACAAACACATTTCAGGCAATTTGCTTTAATCCTTAAAATGTACAGACTTGTTCCTAAATCTCAAATTAAAGCCTTATCTTTTTAAATAAGGGGATTAACTGTGCGGGCGTTAAAGTGTCATTTAGGATCCTTCATGCTGCAGGCCTGTGTACTGTGTCTAACTGAAAGGAGTCAACGCAAACAAACACACTGAAGGGACGTTTCTAGAAGCTGTTTGTTTAGCAGCTTGAGACACAACATTTAATAAAGGTGGTTACCTTAAGAAACAGTAACACCTGTGTGAAACACTTCAGTTACTGCACTTGTTCAGCCTTTATTACCTCCGCCAAGGAGGTTATGTTTCGCCGGCATTGGTCTGTTTGTCTGTTTGTTGTCTGCAAAATAACTCAAAAAGTTCTGAACGGATTCTGATAAAATTTTCAGGAAAGGTTGATAATGGGACGAGGAACAGATGATAAAATTTTGGTGATCGGTTGAAGCGAAGTGGATAAAATAATAAAATGGCTGGAAATCCGAGCTGCTTGGCGGAGGTCTGCGCTCTCCAAGTGCTTTTCTAGTTTCCTTATGATAAGCTTTTTTTAATCACATATCTATGCAGTAGAGTAGATCCACTGAGCCTGAGTGCGTTTGTTACAACGACCTGCTTTATAATCACCTATTTACGTACAATTTCACCTTGACGTTGTCCTTGGTGCCCGCTGAGTCTTGCTAACAAGCACTTTGAAGTTAGTAATAAGGGTGAGACCTACTCATCCTCAAAAAACAGCAATGTCTTTTCCCAGATATCGTGACCCAGTTATTCGAGATAATCCACAGACCTCGCTGTGAGCAGTTTCATGTAGGAACCATTTTCTTTCTACTGAACTACACCCTCTAACCGTATCACCGCCCAAAGGGGAGCATGCATCTACTGCTAGCTCACCTAGCACCACCGAGCTAGCTACCAATACAGCTCAGCTGAGGACGACGCCATAAAAATTTACATCATGTGCTGTCACAAGCACGAGCCTGTAGTAGATGAGTAGAGGAGACATGGAGACAGAGGACAGATGTGACGTTTTAACATGTGTGAGACCCATCCATCCTCCATCCCCAGGAGGTTTAAAAAGCTGTAAGTAGCAGTTAGCAGCTAGCTTAAAGAAGAACTGTGAAAATGTTCACAAATTGGGCGGACTGAGGTCTGGAAGCTCCGTAAGCAGGATTTAAACATCTGCATCAAATCAACACCATACCCTACGCAACAGCCTGACGTGCACGTCCCCAGAAATGTAACTACACATCTGTCTCTGTAAGCTGAAACCATTTCCCTCAGTGGAAACAAAGCTTTGATTTACTTTAATTTCACAGATAAGAAACAATAAATTGTGAAGACAATAAAGCCTCCACTAAAATAGCATTTTAAGTCTTGTGTGTGATTTATCCTGGCTTCATATGAGCAGAGCAAATCTCTGCTAGCTGCTAGGCTAATTTATACAATGTAAAATGCCACAGGCTTGTGCTAATAACGTTAGCATGTTGTATTTGTGGGGAAAATGTGTCCAGATAAAGACAAGTGTTTGTCTGTGAATGCTGCGAGTTATAGTGAAGCTGATTTGTGTTTGAAATTGTCTCTATTAAGCCATGTTTAATGTGTGTTTAATGTGTGTTTAATGTGTGTTTTGAATCAACTAAACTTTACAGCACTTCACAGAAACCCCACCGCCGACTAGTGTTTTGGAGGTGTAACTGCAGAGTGACACAGACACACCACGACATGTGTAAATGCTCACAACGGCGTAGGCCACGTGTGTAGGCTAAGCATAAATCCAAGTATGAATCAGCCTTTACCCTCTGAGCAGAGGTTAAGATCAGCCGTCATATAACAGGGACATTAAATAATCATTATTTACATGTTGTTTCATTGTTTTTCTTTACAAAGCGCTGCCGACGTAAATGTAACATGTCACACTCGAGGTTGGTGCTCTTGTGTTACATGTCACGGCTCTGTTGCTCCTGAGATGCCAGCACGCTGTCTAACCTCACACACAGGAACGCCATTAAGTTAGCGTTGCTTGATTCAGTGTATAAACACAAAAGTGGCGTGAAGAGGAGACGGTGTTTTGGCGTCGCGGCCTTACAGAGCGCTCTGTGTGTAAAGAGGACTTTGGATGGAGGACGACTCAGCTCTATGAAAGCTGAAGAGTTTTACTGTAGTGGGTCATGAAAGGCTGAGTGAAATGAGACTGGCAGGATGACTACATTAATCAAAGTGTCACCCCCCCTACACACACACACACACACACACACACACACACACACACTAAGCTAATTAATGAGAAAAGACCATGAATGATAAACAAGTCATCCATATGCATGTGTACCCAGGGAGGCTCATACAGGCCTTGACACCCCAGAGAGTTTCTCTCCTCCAAAACACAGAGGCAGAAGCAGCTGAGGGACAAAAGGCCCCAAAACTAAATCAATACTCATTCTCAACTACCTTTAAACATCTGTGGAGGACGACCATAAAGAGAGGTCACGGTTTTAACTCATTACTGTAACTACTTCACAACAGAGTCGTTTGTTGAGATTTCTGCTTAAACATTTTAAATTTTAGAAGCTAAATGTACAGTTTTCATCATAAAGATGAATTATTAACCTTCTGTCCTGACTTTTCGTAGACACTTCATAGACACTGTTGTTTCAGCAGAGATGATAAATGAAGTAAAATCAGCAGTGATGGACAAAAAACAGTCCCTCAGGATAAGAAGGAGGAAAGTCATTTAACCTCTGCTGCTAAAAGTGAAGCTTTGCTTTAAACCTGCTGTCTGTTGCTGATTGTTTGTAATGGAAGGCTAATTAAATATGCACTAGCCATCATATCCCAGAGAGACACCAGATTAATGGCCTCCAATAGCAGGAGACCTGAGTGGAGGGGGAGGGGCCTGAAATCAATCCATCAATAATGGCTGTTCCCCCGGGGAGCGGCATAATCAAATGAGACACACACACCTCCCCCTTTATCTGACTTCCTCCTCCTCCTCCTTAAGCTCCTCTACGATCCCTTTCTTCTTGTCCTCTTCTCGCTGTTGCTCCTTCTGCTGAGCCCTGTCCTCTGCTACAGTCTCTGCACCGCTCCGTCACTCAGTGCTCTCCCCTCCTGTCCCAGTCCACCCCCTCGTCCACATCTCCTGAATTCCAAGGGGACGGGGACACACAAAAGCAAGGAATGCAGCTGGGCTGGAGCGCAGGAGGAAGGTGGAGACAGATGATGATGGACACAGGGCTCAGGGACAGGCAGATTGATGGCGTGAGGTTGGGATAGATTCTGGTGAGCGATGGAGGCACAGTATCTACAGGACCCAGATCATCAAATGAAGCTGTTCCAGTATTGACCGTCACATGACAAGTGGTTTAATGGACTATAAATTCAGTGTGGTGATAAGAAAGCAGCTCGTGATGAGAGAAAGCTGACGCACTTACTCGTTCAGAGAGAGGAGCCTGATTCAGTCTTAAAAAACAAAATATCCATGTTAACCACGACTGTGTCCCCGCCACCGTACATGTTCTACTCATAATAAAAACGTATTTTTTTCTGATCAATCAATCCTAAGTCCTGGCCCCTTTATAAAATGTCCAAAAAATATTATGAAAATGTACGAAAAAATGGTGATAGAATGTCCGACAATTATTATGAAAATGTCTGAAAAAAATGTTGTCATTATGTCTGGAAAATATTCTGAAAATGTCACCAAAAAAAAAAAGTGATTGAGATTGTGAATGAGATTTCTACGACAAAATCTGATAAATGGTTTGAAAAATATAATAAAAATGTTGTGTAAAACAAAAAAAAAAAGATATTGAAATAAGCATGCTAAAATGTTTCTTAAAATATGTCAGATATGATATCAAAACCATAAATATGACCTACAAATCTATTTCTTTTTAGAGTCAGGATTTGTGTTTGTGGAAACAAACAACAGATTATTGAAAACACTGGAGTCCTGACGACACACAGCTGCAGGAGGCTTCAGATATATTTAATAAATGAAAATAAATATCTGTTGCTGATGTGCCATCAACAGCCCCACAGTCCTCAAGGAGAAACACACTCCTCATACACACACACGGTTGTAGATTACATAACACAGCAGCCTCTTGGAATGCCAGTCAATATTATTGACCCACACAGGATACTGGCTCTTCCCAGAGGTCTTCATGGAAGGATGCTGTTCCCTCTCCGCTCGCCTCTGTCTTTATCTGCCTCGCATGAAAACCTCTCATTCACGAGCTGTGAGCCATTTGCAAAAAATGCACGACACACAAGCCGAATTCTTTGCAGGCGAGGAATACAGCT